GACATTCAAATATTTATTAATTGTAGCAAGAAGTAAAAAAATCTTTAAATTATGCATTCACTGACTTCTGCAGATACAGCCATCATGCAGAAATGAATTCTCAAAGTTTACAGGAGAAGTAATGCAGTCCTTCAAGTCAGGTCTTGGAACTTCTTCACATCTCTCCCTTCTTCTTGTGCTCCTGCCCTGTGTTTAGATTAGAAGGCTGACAGGCTGCCAACTCACTGCTAGGAGGGGGGAGCAGGAGGAAGTTAAGCTACGTAGAAAAAATACATATATCATTGAAAAACTTCTGCAGCAATATTTGCAGCTGAATTGCTCTTCAAAGGCTACAGAGTTTAGTGAGGACTTGTTTTAATACCCTTATATTTGTGTAGTATCCAATAGTGTACTACTCGGGTAGTGTAGGTGATTAGGTTGGGTTACTGCAGGTCAGGCTGGATAGCTTAACAGGTTGAAACTCTATCACCTCCACCTGGTTCTGGAGGACCGTGGAAGCTTCCAGAAGCCAGTGGTGGAAGAAGTGGAGACCTAATCTGCATGTTTATGGGAGTCTAACCATAAACACAAAGAGTGGCGAGGCCAACCCATAAATATGGGAAAGTCAAGCTGGCAGGGGAGTTGGGTGGAAGGTGGAGTGCAGAGTAGACTGTCGTTGGCCTGGGAGGGGTCCCCTAGGTCTAGGGGGGCAAGCCTCCAGACTGGGCTTGGGCTTGTCTCGGGAGGATCCATTCAGCATCCCAGTATAAACACAATCCATGTCTGGGAGCAAGGAAGACAGAGTGAGTACAGCAGCACACCCAGGGATTCACAGAGGGAGAGAGTTCCACCTGTAACAAGCTTTCAAAGGACAGCATTGTGCTCAATCCTCTATCCTTGTCCTGGGGGATCTTCTGAGCAGCCAGGAGGGCTGGTAGTGTCTGTAGGCTGTGGAGCTGTTCTACAGCGGAGGGGAGATATCTCTGCATGTAGTTTCAACAAGCTAAGCTAACTTTCAGAGGGCTGAGAGTCACTAGCCCATAAGGGGCAGTTGCTACTGATCCATAATGACGACTGCTTTTAAGGAAAAGAACAGTCCAGGATCTGTTTTTTGTAAATAGGAAGGAAGTTGTCCCTGTGCATTGATTCAGTCTAGTTGGGCAACCCATAATCCCTATTACCCTATCTAAGTTATATCCCCTAATAACCAAGCTCATGGACTGTTCACTGACTGTGGATGCAAATGTGGAAAATGTGTATTGACTTACTGTGTGAAGCTTAGAGGGATCCAAAAACACAGCAGCCCTCAAGAGGGTAGAACTACATTTTTAAAGAATATATAAATATTTGAATATAAATTGCCTAGCCACAGTTTAGCTTTAAAGGGAAAATATAGTGTATTTTCATTGAGTATAGATTTTCAGTTATTATTGCAGTGCCTACTTTAAAGTGGTTGTCAGGGAACGAGAAGATCGCCATGGCGCATGAATCTGCACATGCATAGGATCCCGACAAGACATACAGGCAGGCGAGCACTAGGATCCAGGCATGCCTGTCACCAATGACGGCGCCGGGCAGGCACTAGGACCCAGGCGTGCCTGACGGTGCTGGGCAGGCTATTTAAACTGGCCATTGCAATGTGCAAGTTGCCGTATGGTCTTGATCCTTTGCTTGTGTTCTGATCCTGTGAGTGTACCTTGTTGCCGAACCCAGCCTGATCCTGATTACTGCTGACCATCTCCTGCCCTGAGCCCTGAGCCCTGGCTTGCCTTTTGACAACTCTTCTGCCTGCTCCTGATCGTCTGACCTCCTGTTGCTGAACTTGGCCTGTGACCCGACTATCCTTTGTCTGCTGCTCTGTTCTGTTCTGCCTCCACAGTTACCGACCCGGCCTGTCTGACTCCGCTACTTGCTTCACGGTGTGTCCATCCTGCACAGATCCATTCGTTTACCGCTCAGGTCTGCCCTGACTCTTCACATCAGGCTCTTATCCAGCTACGTCCCGTTGGCGGTCCTCTCTACTACAGTTGGGTGTACCGCGACCTGGTCTCAGCCTGCTCCAAGTCCATCCCCACCATCAGGGGCTCTGGTGAAAAAGCAGACTGGGGCTTAGACTCCACGCCCTGGGGAATCCCGAACTGTGGATCCATAGAGCTACCGTTAGCAAGTACGTGACAGTGGTTCTATAGTTTATATTATTTTTACCTTAATGCATTTTCTGTATTAACTGCTTCCCGTCCGCCCTATAGCAGAAGTACTGCTACAGGGTGGCGCGGGTGCACAAAATCATGTATATATACGTGATTTTATAGTTCCAGGTAGGGGGTGCGCACCCTATCCATGCCGCCATTCGTGGCCTCGGCTGTCAATCACCGGGTCCTGGCCGGTGATTTCTCGCCCGCACCCGGTGATTGCTCTCCGGCACCCGGTGATTGCCGAGCATCTCCGATGGGGGGAGAACTGTTTGTAAACAAAACAGTTCTCTCCCCTGTCAGCTACTGCACACTGCTTTGCATGGCTGTGTCCTTTGACAGCTATTTGGTATTGCCCATGGGGGTGAGGTTTGAATGGAAGAAAGAGATCCTGCAGACAGGTGTCTTTTATACACATGCAGTAACAAGTTGTCATTAGGAGCACCTTCTTAAATTGACTGGACTAATCTGTGTACCTCATGAGCACATAGCCATTCTGCGGGAGCCAGAATTATTGTTGGTTGGTAGGGGATCAAATACTTGTTTTACTCATTGAACTGCAACTCAATTTATAACATTTGTATCATGTGTTTTTTCTGGATTTTTGGTTGATATTCTGTCTCTATCATTTAAAATACACCTATGATAAAAATGATAGACTCTTCATTTCTTTCTAAGTGGGGAAACTTACAAAATCTGCAGGGGATCAAATCATTATTTTCCCAACTGTACTTCCATCCAAGGAAAGGGTCACGGTTGAAAACCAAAGATGAAATACAGCAAACCAAAAGATAATATACAACAATTCCATTACTGTATTGTCACCCTTTCAGATATGTTTCCGATGGAGACTATATGTGGCTATGCACAAATTATGCAGATATGGTCCGCTGTTGTCACAATTAGGAAATCTGCCCTGAGAAATGTCGTTAAGCTAAGGAAGACAGGATGCGGCTGCAAAGAAAGATCAGCAGCACTAAGATGCAACAAAGTATTTGAAGTGTTATTAATACGTTGCAAAGTTAACATCTGTTCCACATAACTCTTTGAGTGTGTGAAAACGCAAATTTACACGTGTTTATATTGCTTTAGCTTTTGAATTGGTACAGCCAAGACAAAAAAGGTTTGAAGCACTAAGAGTTACTCACTTATATTAAACCTTTTGTTTTTAAAACAGAGTAAGCCCCCTTTCCATGAATTACCAGCCTAGGACATCATGCGCATTACACATTGGCTTTTATCCTTATGGCTGGTGGGTTAGCAAGTGTCCCTTCAAACGTAGACTATTTGCAGGTTTATTGAAAGAGCAGCAGAATGGTCCTGCTGTAGCTGTATATCATTAAAACCCTACTTTACAAATGTGTTTTGTGCTCCTCTGGCTTCAAGAATCCAAAGCTTGTGAAAGGCAATGAGCAGGGAGAGAATACAATGCTGGAAGGAGATGCTGGTCATGTAACCTGTCAAAGTCAAATGATTGTCTTTTCTCCAATCGTGCAATCTGCTGATAAAGAAGAATTCCAGGTAAGGCAATTTATATAGTTATGGTCAAGCGTAATTATGTATGTTCCATCCTGATACTACAGTGCTGTCCTGCTGCATTGGGAAAACTGGAGGCTGTTTGCTCAGCATGGCCACCAATCAGGGAGCACTTTGCATTTCTCAGTAAATGGAAACAGTTCTCTGGTTGGACAAGCTGGAAAAATGGGGAGGTGAAACAACAATCTCCACTTCATCCAATCAGAGAATGCTTTACATTTCTTGAGAAAAGGGAAAGTGTTTTCTTAATGGCATTCACACTGACTGGGTGACCTCCTGTAAGCAGAAAGTCAGCTACTTGGCGCAGGACCTGGAATCTAGTGGAGATACCTTGATCCAGCTTCCAATGGGATCCCATAGGTATGGCACATACATACTTACATTGATTCAAGCTGTACCAATGAAATTCAGCTTTAAGCAAAGAGAAGTCCAAGGACCAACTCAGGCTGCACACCCAATTTTATAAACGACCTGTAAAATACAGGACACGGTTTGTGTACCTCAGTAGAAAATAATGGACAGAGGATATTGATATCCATTTTCAGCTTAAAAGAACCCCATGAAGATATATGTGCAGAAAATAAAATTTCTAAAAAAAAAAAAAAATCAGTTCTTTATTAACCACTTGCCGACCGCAGATAGCCGAATGATGGCTTCATATGACGTCCTCCCAGAATGTGCTCTCCCGCGAGCACACCCACACGCCCCGGCGATCTCCGTGATCGCTGTATCCTATGGACACAGTTGATCATGTGATGTGGTAAAAGGCCAATCACAGCGGTCCTTTACCACATGATCAGCCGTGTCCAATGACACAGCAGATCACAGGTAAATGCAGTTGCCGGTTTTCGGATGCATTTTCCTCACGCTGTCACAGCATGAGGAAAGTACTGCTGATGACCGGCAATTGTCAGAGGACAGATTGGCACTGATCATCAGGGCACTGATGATCAGTGCCCAGCAGTGCCACCCACCAGTGCTGCCCACCTGTGCCCAGCAGTGCCACCCACCTGTGCCTATCAGTGCCCAGCAGTGCCACCCATCTGTGCCCATCAGTGCCTATTAGTGCCACCCACCTGTGCCTAGCAGTGCCACCCATCAGTGCTGCCCATCAGTGCTGCGCATCAATGCCACCCATCAGTGCCCGGCAGTGCCGCCAGTCAGTGCCCAGCAGTGCCGCCAGTCAGTGTCGTCAGTGCCATCCATCAGTACCCATTAGTGCCACCTATCAGTGCCCATCAGTGCCCATCATTGTTGCATATCAGTGCAGCATCATCAGTGCCACCTCATCAGTACTGCCTATCACTGCTCATCAGTGCTGCCTATCAGTGACGCCTATCAGTGCCCATCAGTGCTGCCTATCAGTGCAGCCTTATCAACGCACATCAGTGAAAGAGAAAAATTACCTGTTTGCAAAATGTTATAATAGAAACAAAGAAAAACACCCAGCAGCAAGTACTTGCCACCAAAAGAAAGCTCTATTTGTGTGAAAAAAAAATATAAAAAATGCATATGGGTACAGTGTTGCATGACCACGCAATTGTCATTCAAAGTGCAACAGTGCTGAAAGCTGAAAATTGCCTGGGCACGAAGGGGGTATAAGTGCCCGGTAGGCAAGTGGTTAAACAGTGAAAATGCTGGACAACAGTATGGTTTCTAACCTCTTTCATTTTGGTATACGAAAATACAATCAGTATCATTTTTCAGATTTTGAAAAATGGCACAGGCACTCAGTGAAGCAAAATAATTAAAGTGACCTAAATCTGTTTATTCTGTTAATAAAATATTACATAACTGCTTCTGTAAGGGTTGCTAGGTTTCAACACGTCTGTGCATAGCGTTAAATATTAACATCTCAGGAGTACATGTTCAAATTCAAGAGCATGGATACTGTTTAGCCAATCACAGAGCAGTCCTGTTTCCATGGCAGCAGTATCACTGATTCATTCACAATGAAACCCACAAGGCTTTTACAAAATGCTCTAAAAATAACCTTTTAAGCGGAAGCAGTGCAATTTGCCAGCTATAGTTTGTTCAGCTTTATATTGGTACAAAATTAATTTATGGTGCTTTAAATGAATTACTCATGTTTTATTCATGTATCATGTAAGAGAGCGAGAGAACGCTTCTTGATTAAAAATGAAATCTGTCTAAAAACAGTATTGTATTGCTATCAGTCAATAAAGTCTTTTTATTTTTACTTTCAGTTTGCCCAGCAGAACCTGGATTGATTATTGGCTGAACAACGTCCAAGTACGTGAACTTTTCAGCTTTCAAAGAATCAAAAACCTGAATGAAAATCTGATGTCAAAATGACTTTTTTCATTTCAGCAGAGGGGAGGAGCCTAGAGTGCCGTGGGCAGGGGCGGACTGACAACTCATGGGGCCCCTTGGCAATAGGGGATCATGGGGCCCCTGTGTCCTTGCCCACACTCAAAAAAGCCTATAAAAAAGGTACCAGGGGCATTTCATGGGGCATTTCATGGGGCCCCCTACTGACCCGGGGCCCTCGGGCAGTGCCCGAGTGCTCGAATGGTCAGTCCCCCCTGGGCCGTGGGGGACCCGAGAACAGAAGGATCTGGGCTGCTCTGTGCGAAACCCTTGCACAGAGTAGGTAAATATAACGAGTTTGTTATAAAAAAAAAAGCATTTAGTATCAATTTAACCACTTGGCGACTGGGCTATAGCCAAATGATGGCTACAGCGCGGTCGTTCAGTTCTAGGAGGGCATCATATGGCGTCCTCCCAGAACAATACTTCCCGTGCACCCTATGGGGAGGGCACCTGGCATGCCCTGTGATTGCTGTGTTTGTCACACTATCACAGTGGCCCGTTTACCACGTGATCAGCTGTGTCAAATGACATGATGTAAACACACATCTGCCTATCCGTGTTCACCGGTTATCGGCTACACTTTTCTCATGCTGTCACAGCGTGAAGAGAGGAGAGCCAGAAACCAGCAACTGTGAAAGAGGATATCAGTGCAGCCCCAAGGGGATATCAGTGCAGTCCCAACAGTGTCCATCAGTGCAGTCCCAACAGTGTCCATCAGTGCAGTCCCAACAGTGTCCATCAGTGCAGTCCGTCAGTATCCATCAGTGCTGCCAGTCAGTGTCTATCAGTGCTGCCAGTCAGTGTCCATCAGTGCTGCCTGTCAGTATCCATTAGTGCTGCCAGTCAGTGTCCATCAGTGCTGCCAGTCAGTTCCTATCAGTGCCTCCAGTCAGTGCTCATCAGTGCCGCCAGTCAGTGCTGCCTATCAGTGACCTTTAGTGCTGCCTATCCGTGTTCATCAGTGCCGCATACCAGTGCAGCTCCATCAGTGCAGCCTATTAGTGCGCATATATGCTGCATATCAGTGCTCATCAGTGCAGCTTCATCAGTCAACATCAGTGAAGGAGAAAAAATACCTGTTTGCAAAATTTTATAACAGAATCTAAGAATTTTTTTTCAACATTGTTTGGATTTTTTTGTTTATTTAGCAAAAAAATAAAAAAGTGATTAAATGCCACCAAGAGAAAGCTCTATCTGTCCCAAAAAAGGATACAAATTTAATTTGGGTAGAGCATTGCATGACCGTGCAATTGTCACAGCGACAGCGCTGAAAGCTGAAAATTGGGCTGGGCAGGAAGGGGGTGACAGTACCCAGTAGGCCAGTGGATAAAACTGACTCTAAGTTGGTGTACAGAGACAGGCGAACTGTATGCTGTTTAGCAGAGCCACATGTTTGCTGCTGCTACCCTCTCACTACCCTGTCAATGGTTGTCAAGGATATTGTCGACTTCCCAGCCAACAGGCTCCTAGCAACCAGTGATGTTGACAATGGGAGAAGCCTATTGGCGTAGCTGAGGGACTAGTTCCTCATCAGGTCCATCAAGTTCTGTAATGAGAAGGCTGTCTATTGGCTATGAAATTAAACTCTGGTAAACAATGGTATCCATTCAAAAATACAATCAAATACAGTCATACAATCAAAATACATTTAATGGCTGAAAGAGTTTAGCTTCAGCACTGAAAACTAGTGTAAATAAGTGTCCTACACACCCCACAAAAATTAGCCGAAGATCATTCTTAGTGTTCACATCACCCATAGCCAAAAATTTAAAACAGAACTCTAGAAGTTTCCCCTGCATTACTTAATTTCCACCACTAGATATCCTCATTCTAGCATCATGCAAACTATTTCCTCTAAACCGAGGATGTCCAACCTGTGACTGGACAGTGAAAGGAGAAGCAGCGCAGTGATGATTTTATCTCCTCATCTCACTGCTTCCTGATCTTATCAGTATGCTTCTTGTCAGCACGTGAACTGTTTGACTCCTTGTGCTTCTTTTTTAGCTTACAATAAAGTCCTGCTGTAGAGGAATTGCAAGAGGCATCTGATACCAGGTCAAATACTTGTGCTTGCGCCAATTACAAAAAAATACAGTTAATGATAGGTGATTAGAGAACAGCATTAATGTGTTCTTTTTATGTTCAACTATGAAGAAACACAGTTACATTGCTGTTGTACACCTTATTGGTTCATTGCCATTTAAGCCTGGCTAAACTCTTCCATTTCCAGTCTTGATGCCCAAAATATGCTAAGTGCACTGTGTAAAAATATGCACGTATCACACATTCTAGGAGGAGAACCACTTGGGGAATCAGTGCTGGAAAAGGATCTGGGTGTTTAGTAGATCATAGACTTAAAGGGTAAGTCCACTTTCATGGGAAAAAATTGCAAAAAGGAAAAAAAATAATGTAACATATACAACTGTGACACAAGTCATATTTTAACAATGTTATTAAAATTACCTTTCCTTTCAATCTGCAGCACTGTAATTTTCTGTAAAATGTAATGCAATATAACAACCTGGAGGCATTCCATACACAGATGGTATACAGAACGCCCCCCATATATGTCATCTCCTCCTCGTGTGACTGGCTTACTGATTTTCTCAGAAGTCTGCACTAAGATACAGTCAGATTTTGGGCATCCCCTACAAAAATGTCATATATGGTCAGACACTTCCAAAGGGAAATCACATCTAAAGGGATAGATACCTTGCAATTTTTCCATTAGAGCCCTGTAGGTGCAGCAGCTGATAGATTATTATAAAGTCACTCCCATACAGATTCACTCTGCACATAGACATAGACAAACAAACAGCTTTTTTTTTTTCGGAATAACAAAAGGTAGGAAACTGCAACAAAGTTTGTTAGAATCCTTGCAATGTACATAGATCAGCTAGAGAAGAATGTTTTTTTTTTTTTCAGCAAAAGTGGAGTTACTCTTTAATAATAGAATGCAATGTTAGTCAAATACTTGTATTAAAATAGACATAGACTCAAGAGTGAGAGATATGGTGGGAGGGGGAAACAGGAAAGAACCTCAGTGTTGTAACATTACCATCATAGTATAGCTACACTTTCAGATGGTCATACCCAGATCACCATTTTACAGGGTCTCCACCTCATAGAGATAGGGATCTAGCCTCCCCCCAAGCAGCCCAGATCCTATCAAATTTTTTGGGACACTTGTGACTTATGATATAAGTAAGCTTGTGGAGGGGCAGGGCATAGTTCACCATGGATCTCCACTGGGAGATTGTAGGAGGGTCTGTCTGTTTTCATTTAGAAAGAATAGCTTTTCTGGTGTAGAAGGCAGCATAGAACACAAACAGCTTTTTGTGGGTAGTGGAAGCTATTGTGTCACAGACCCCCAGGTAAGAGTGCCAATGGGTCCATCAGAACAGTCAGTCATCCCACTGAATTATTATCCGCCACCACCACACTCCAAAAACCCTGGATAATTAGGCAGGACCACACAACATGAATAAATGTACCTGTCTCACTTTGGAATTTAGGGCAAACAGCAGAGTGTGCAGGGCAGATCACAGAAAGCTGCTGTATAGTATGCTCTATGTAAAATTTTAAACTGGATATACAGTATCTGTCGTTTGCCGAAATTACCAAGGGAATTTACTGCTGGATCCCCTCATCCCTGTCTACAGTTTTCAGGGTCAGAATATCCCTTTGCCCCTTTCTCCCTTTTTAATAACTACTTTTTCTTCCTCTTTTTCTCTTTCCATTATGGTTTTGATATGGCCCGCTTGTGAGGTACACACGAGGTACAAGCTACCTTAGGTACATACAATGGGGCCCCCAGCTAACCTTAGACCTAAACTCAAAAAAGCCTTTTAGAGGAGGGCCCTAGTGCTCGAGTTTCCAAATGGTCAGTCCGCCCCTGCCCTATATTTTAGAGGAGTACCTTCAGTACCTCAAGAGTTACTGGATGTTCTCCCCCCTTCATACACTGAGCATGCAGAGGACAACATGACCTCCTTGATGCCTAGTGCGGTGCCCCCCCATTGCCCCTCCATAC